TGAGGAGACCACACTGGAACAAATGGTGCAATTCACAGGGAAGAGAAAACGTCACACCTGGCCGCAGCTATCCTGCCTGAAAGAAACCTAACTTGCCCAGCCATGGTTTCACCCCTCATCCTTGAGTCCCCTGTCTTCTGCTCTCTCTCTCTCTCTCTCTCTCTCTCTCTCTCTCTCTCTCTCTCTCTCTCTCTCTCTCCAGGTCTTCCTTTCTAGCATGTTCTGTTCCTGCTGGAGATTTAACTCTTAGATTCTCTTACCTCACCCAAGTGGCCTGGGCTAAGATGTAACCATGGATGGGTGACTATTCCGTAAGGACAGATTCTGTTTGAAATGAATGAATTCTGAAGGTGAACTTTCACACAGTACTAATACCACCTAGGTTAAGGTAGTGGAAGAGATACAGAACACTATTATCGCATGGGAATGCTCACTGAGTAAGTATGTACTCCTCCAGTGACAGTCACCTCCTTTACTGGCCCCCGGACATACGTAGTGTACATGTCTTTGTGAGATTTGTTTTGTTTCAGACAAGATATGTAGCCCTAGGCTGGCCTCAGACTCTCTAGGTAGCCCTGGCTGACTTTGAACTGGGATTACAGGTATGTACCACACTCCTGGCTTCTGAATACAGGTCCTTCTGAAGGAATGTCACCTTCATGAAATAGTATTGTGAAAATCACATTCTATAATGATTTAGTTAATGGGAAGCAGTCAAGGCAACATAGAGTTCTTGTCCTCATCCCAATACAGACCATTTTCAGACAAAACCATATGTAGTACTCCTGCCCACAATTCTCAACCACACACACAAATAAACAAAAACAAAACCAAACTAAAACTGCACACCCAGTACACACAACATTTTGTACCATAAACTATTTTTAAGCCCCTAAACTCTGCAAGTGCCTGCTAGTGGAAAAAATCAGTTCCTTATGCATGAGAGTCGATGCCGGTTTGTTTTTTATTAGTAGTGAGTTAATTATCGTCTCAGCACAAGAAGGAAAGGCCCCTGTAGCCCACTGGGATGGGCTAGTTTTTCAGGCAGATGACATAATCTGAGCATTGGAATAGAATGTTACTCAGCCACCAAATGTGGCAGAAACCCTTGAAGATTAGATTGGAAACCTTGCCATGGGGAAAGAATACCAAAGCAGTTACGAGCCGTAAACACCAAGCAGAGAGGAAACTAGCAAACAAGTTGCCCCTGCACAGTGGTCGACTCACCCCAGATAAAGGAAAGGGGTTGGGATTAGGGTCAAAAGGGAAGGTGACATTTCTCAGGAATATTTCAGACAAATGGGATGAACAAAAGAACGAGACCAGTGCTTACACTATGCTGCATGGTCCTCCAAACAGTCCTCTGGGAAGCAAGAGGAAAACAATTTCAAAAGAAAAAGAAAGAGAGATTATTTTATACATCGTAGCACAGCACAGGAACAAAGCATAGACTCATCGCTTGGCTGATATTCCATCCACTCTGTTCACATTCTTAGTGACTCGGAGAACAACCAGGAAATCTTGACACCAGGACAAGGTGAGATACTTACTGGAGTTGCTTTGGATTAAATCATCACAGCCTGATGAGTTAACTTCCAAGTCTTTTTCTTTTTCTTCTTAAGGTTGACTTTTATAAACCACATTCCTCTAAGGGCTGTAATTTAGAGTTCAGATCTGCCCTAATGAAAACGTTGCTGTAAGTAACAGACAGTCCCTGCCTTAGTGTTCAGAGTGAGCACATTGTGCTCTAATTTTCTGAGCTCTTCGTCTAATTGCCTTTCGGGAGAACAAGGCTCACACCTCTGTATGCACAGACCTGAGAAGCACAGTGACTTTGTGCTGAATTAGTGTTGTGCCTGATGTTTCCAGTGAGGGGGAACTTTCTACACTCTTAGCTTTACATCAGGTACTTCAGAGGAGCCTCAGAGGACACATTTAGGAACAGGAGAAGAGAACCAAACAGTGACCTCTGGCCCACTTAACTGGAAACCATTAGTAGCCTGTGGGGACAGGAGGGCTGCTGGGTGAGATATGGCAGTGAGGCCAGCCTGTTAGCTAGATCAGGTGACGGCCTTGGCACCCTCAAGAAAGAGAGGCAGTGAGGACTCCGATACTTCCCTAAAGCCAGCTTTCTATCAGTGGCTAAATTTACACAAATTCAATCTTTCGGTTTTGGAAAACAAAGCATGACTTGAGGTTAACATGTTTGAAGGCTGATGGTGAATGTCAACAGCATTTTAGGTCCCCACAACTTTCGAAGAACGAGTGGAAACTTTTCCTGGTGATAGAATTTCCAAGCTCCTTAGGAAGGGACTGGGCCTTTTGGAAGATACCATGTTTCTTTGGACTCTGTGAGTTTTAGCAGTGACTTGGGGTTTGAGACCTTTATTTCTAAAACAAACCCCTTAATTATCAGCTCACATAAAAAGAGAGTTTTACACCAACAGACATAAGAACATTTGCCAACAGATCCCAGAGTCAATACCACAGGCACTAATTCAAAAGGTGTCCAGAAGCCACCTTCCAGGAGCTTCAGAAGGAAGGTATTTTCAGGTGGGTGAGTGGAGAGCTAAGTCTTTTGATGTCGGCTTTTAAAGCATTTTCTCTGTTGAAACAGAGACATCTTTTCTGATTTCTGCCTTTCCTTGGACACATGCTTCCTGTTAATATTCAGGAAACATCTTTTCAGGGAAAAATTAAAACAGGAGTAGGTATCACAAGGCTTGTTTATAAACAGTGGGGACAGGCTGGAACAGAGGACAGACCCTTCTGGAGAATGCACCCGGGTTTCCCCTTGAACAGGTCCATGAAAGACCACACTGGTCTGCTCAGCTCTCCTCAGAAGGCAAGCAAGTGCTTGAAGAGAAAAATGCCTTAGGGAAGCCAGGGGCTGCAAGGGAGCCTCTGAAGGAAGCTTGGGGCCAGCAGTCTATGTCTTAAGGATAACCTTAATAGAACATGCTTTGGTGTGTGAGCAACTGATCTTAGGAGCAAAGGAGAGCAATTGGAAGGAGGCTGGATGCTACAAATGGCTATTTCTCAAATTTGAAAAGAGATCAGAATTTCACAGTATGGAATATGCACAAAACCTCGGTTCTCATGTACGTAGCCTGAGGTCACGCCTTGGAGGATGTGGGTGTTATAGCTGATGGAGAGCACTGTACAAGACATTTAGGTCCTTGTGTGAATACCTACGCTCTCAGGCTGGCCTTGGGTTTTTACATGTGACAGGTGATTAACCATTGCCATTTATTGTTTGAAAACGATTGATGGACATAAAATAGAATGTCTTCCATCAATTTGCTGTCAGTATTTTTCTGCACTCCTTCTGGGGGTGCATTTTGAAGGTTACTTGGGAAAACTGGTTTTTTTTTTTAATTTTAAGGTTCAAATCCCAGCTTTCATATCTGTCAGACTTTGAACGTCATGAAATTGTCAGTGCTCTATTTTATTTAGTTTGTCTTTTACTACAATAATACTATGTGGAGTAGCAGGATTTTGGGTTGTTTTTTAAATGTTTGTTTTTCCTTATTTTATTTTCTTCATTTAAGGGTATGTGTTTACTTAGCCTGGAGAATGCTTCTCTGTTTCAAAGGAAAAATATTCATTGATTGTAGAGGATATCACAACAGTGTCCAATTTAATGCAATTTAACCAAGTGTATAATATGCCCTCGTTCTTTGAAAACTTTATTTACCTATTGTGGTGAGAAAATTTAACAGGAAGTTTCCTGTAAGAGATTTTTTTGAAGTGTGTAAAACACAACGGTTCTATGTGGGCACAATTTTGTACATATGCTAGCTACAGTGAGATCAAATCTCTACTTGGCAAATGTTTCTGTGTAGAGAGAGACAGAGCATTTTTTAAAGTAGAATCCAAACAATGCACTCTGTAGAAAATCAACATTCTTGGAAAAACCTGACCAAGTCATTGGTTGGCAGGTTAGAGTTGGTTTCTTTAAAGAAAAACTAATTTCAAATTTTCTTGGCAATGTGATAGAGGATGGGAGTGAGCAGGGGGGGGGGATAGGGCGGAGTCATTGTGCATGTCATTCCCTTTCCAAAACCTGTGCAGAAGAAGGATTTCATTTGCTAAAAAGGGGTAATAAATCCAAAGCATAATGTAGCAGTTAATGAGAGCAGCTACTCTTTCACTTTGACACTTAATGGATAGACCTTCATGTTGTTAACGTTCATTTGATTTTTTGTATGGAGAGAAATGCTGACATGTGCTTACATGCAGGCCAAACACAACCAATTTAATCTTACGAGTTCTACACTGTAGAAGGGGTATTAACTAAAACCATAAAGCCATTCATAACAGTGACTAATAAACGTATTTCACAACCAACAATCCTCAAGATTGAGTTTATATGACACAATCAGACGTGGTTCAAATGCTGCACAACACTATGGCTTTATCTGCTAATTTTTACATCAAGATAATTGGCAAAGCAGCGTTCACCACGATAACAGCACAGGTGTATGGATTGGTTATAGCATTATGAATTGAAAACATTGCATTTGAAGTATTTCATCAGGCCATATTTCTTTGAAGTTAGGAGATCTTAATTTTTATGCCAAACTTTGTTTTTTAAAAAAACATTAAGAACTGTATTGATTATGTATATAGTAGCCGTCATCAGATACATTTTTTTTCCTGACATAAAAGCCACCTCACCCCTCACACACATTTAAATGGTCTTAAGATCCCTATTTTAAAAAGACATTTAGGGAAGAAAAAAATAACATTAATTAGGGATTTCCAATTGCTCTTCCAGTGACTACTCTTAGTCACTGCACTAGTGGATTAGTAAGTAGTCTTAAGGGTTCCAAAATAATGAAATCCATGATCTAAAAGAAAAAAAAAAAAACCTTTCCTGTCAACCACTATAATTGAGAACAGGAGCAGGTACAAGAATAAGATGGCTTTAACAACCAACTTTAGGAATCCCATAGTCTAACTTGAGCTAGCCTCACATCATCGATCGGACTACTCACCAGCCGGTCCAAGCTCGTGCCCGCTGCTGTTGTGGGTCTTTCCTCAGGGTTGTAGGGCCGGAAACGTGTGTTAAAGTTTTCTGGAGCTGAACGAGCAGATCTGAGAGCCGGAGCAGGTTTGGGCTGGCCGCAGCCTTGAAAAACCTAGGACAGAGTGTCAACACAAAGTTGACGTTAAACTCACTGAAGCACGCAATACAGATCTCTGCACACTTTTTTCATGAAATTCTTCCTTCCAAAAATCTCTAATTTCTACTTTTTAAATTTAAGGATGTATAGACACCAGTAGGAAAAACATTGCCGCATGAATATAGAGTGACTAGCTGTATGCACGTTTTGTTCACAGTTTTACCACATAGAGCTGGTCCTCATTATCTTCAAATTTCATATTTGCAATGTGACCCAATGTGCATGTTCTCAGGTGATATTGAATTAAGTCCCTCTCTCTTGTAGTTTCCGTCTCATGCTGTAAAGAATAGCCCTTTTCGTGGTCTACTTAATCCATGTTCTTACACTGTGTGTTTGCTCTGTGATTTCACTGGATAAATGGGTCCCTGATGTAGACACAGTTTACGCACTGTCTAAAGTGCCAGACACCAGGAAGGAAGCGGTGTGTCTCACAACGTGTGTTTACACGTTCTACATACACTTCATTCAACTCTTGAGTTTGATCTCTTGAGTTCAGTGTTCATCAAGCACGAAGATCTTAAATAAGGTCTCTTAAACTAAAACAAAATTCGAGCACACGCCCAGTTGGCTTGTCATATGCTAAGCAGCAGCATTTAATCCTGGGTTTCTCTTAGGAATTAGGATTCAGGGCTTGCCAAGTCAGTTCTGATGACCATAACAAACATAACCACTGCAAAATAGCAGGAGCCAACTATTAAATATGGGGATGATAACAGATTCTTCATAGCATGGTTTCAGTATTAAACCAATTGTGGCCCAGACTCTTGTGTGTGCTTGGATGTGGCATTCAATAAACAAGCATTTGGGCACCATGTTCTCTAAGATGACAAGTATATTTCATGTGCAGCATGCCAAAGCCACCTGATTTGAAGGGCTCCCTTTTGAATAATGAAAATCTTTACTGGAAGAACTTTTTGAAAATATTCTCCTGAGCAATGGTGTGGAAATAGGACAAGCAATGTGGGTGAAATCCACATAATGGCATTTTCTTCTAATTTTGTTGTTGACAGCTGTTCATGTCACAGTTAGGGCTGCTGTGGGAAATCAGACATTTTATTGTAATGAATTTAGGGACTAAGATGACAATCTTTTCCACAGTGATTCCATGAAGGTTGATGTGGGAACATTTTCTTCACTATTCTACATGTTTTTCCTTTTGTGCCGGTTATCAAGAGATAATCCCTTTCCTAGACTTCCAGGAATATAGTGAGATGACTATTCTTGATTGACTACATCTGGAATTAACTAAAACCCAAGCAGCTGGATATGCCTGAGAGGGATATATATTTTTAATAATTAAATAATTAGAATTGAAAAGACCCACTTTTAATTGGGTCTTTTGGCTGAGGAAAAGAATTCTAGGGCCTGACCTACTGAGGATGATCCTGCATGCTACATAGGCACCACTCAGAAATGGACAGTTGCAGCATTACAACCTGTTTCTGGGACACCCTTGAAAGAAACCCACGGAGGGAAACCTTCACAGTGGCCAGCACTTTGGGCAGTACTCAAGGTCATATATTTTGTTTGGAAGAGGAAACGGCCATAGGTGTGATTGTTCACTGATTTGTAGGCTGTAGGCAACGGACTGGCTGAATAGTAAAGGACTTGGTAAGAACAGGGTGGGGAAAGTGGTGAGAAAGACACCCGGGGAAGAAATATGTAATGGCCCAGCTCTCTGAGTGTCTGAGTGGGTGAAGGATGCGAAGATATTTGTGTCTTATGTAAATGGTCATCAAAAGCTGGCTCCAACAGAGAAGTTCAACAATCAAGTTGATAGGATGACCCTTTCTGGGGACAGTCTGGCTTTTCTCACAGACATCCGTTCATTGCCCAATGAGTGCGTGAACAAAATGGCGGTTGTGATGAAGATGGAGGTTACGTCTTGACGTGATACCATCGACTTCCACTCACCAAGGCTGACCTAGCTACAGCTACCGATGAGTGACAAGAGCAGAGATAACACTGAGCTACAGGTAGGGCACCATTCCCTGGGGGCCAGCTGATGACTTGGAGGGTGACCCTGGGCCACGCCTCTTTAGAAAGAACAGTGCTTTGTCCTTACTGGAGGAGATATTTATTCCTTTTACGGGTCCATCTTTGCGGCACATGATGCTTCTGCCAAGACCACCATCCACACACTTACAGAATTCCTTATCCACCATCAAGGTATTCTGCACAACACTGCCTCTGACCAAGGCTCTTGCTCTGTAGCTAGAGAATTGCGACAGTGGGCCCACAGTCCTGGCATCCAGTGGTCTTACTGTGTTTCCCACCATTCTGAAGCAGCTGGCCTGACAGGGAGATGGAATGGAGTTTTAAAGACACATTTACATCTCCAATTAAGTAGCATCAGCATGGAGGGCTGGGGCAAGGTTCTCCAAAGTTGGGCTATGCTTTTAACCAGTGTCCAATATATGGTACTGTTTCTCCCATAGCCAGGATCCACAGTCAAGGAATCAAGGAGGGAATAGTTCTATTCACTAGGAAAAATTTTCCTTCCTGTTCCCTGTCTTTAAATTCTGCTGGCCTAGAAGGTTTGGTTCTAGAGGTGGGGTGACCTGCCTGGAGACTCAGCAAACATTTCACTGAACTGGAAGGTCAGACATCCCCCTGGTTGCTTTGGGCTTCTAATTCCCTGAAACCAACAGACTAAGAAAGGAATAACAGTGTTAGGAGGGGTCATTGATGCAGATTACCATGGGGAAAATGGATTGCCTCTCCACAGTGGGGGGAAGAGGGTTATGTCTGGAGTGCAGGAGGATCCTTTAGGCATCTCTTTGTAGTACCCTGCCCTGTGATTAAAGTCAATGGAAAACTACAAGAGCCTAACCCAGGCAGGATGGCAAAGGGCACAGGTTGTAGTTATATGCTTAGCTATATATTTAGGAAGACAATGTATATAATATGAATTAAAGAAAAAAAAGGTCAGAGGTCATGGATTTGAGAGATAACAGTGAGTACATGGGAGGTGCTGGAGAGAGGAAAGGGAAAGGAGAAAATGTTGCCATTGCATTTTAATTTAAACCAAGAAAACTTTCCCCAACTACTTATTTGTGCTAATTCTTAACCTACATATGTATATTTTTCAGTGTGTTCATTTTCATGCTGTTATTTGATTCTGTGTTGTTTAACCTGAAGCATTTTCCACCCTGCATATTATGTGATGGCGGTGACGGACGCAGCGAGCCCTTGAGTGCCATTCCCAATGACACATCCCATCTGCAGACACAATTCATTTTGCCTCACCACTACAACTCATTTCTCTTTTGTGTGTTCCAACTTCTTGAGCTCAGCATTCTGCAGCACAGGGATGCTTTGTCTTGGCATTCTTGGAGGCTGGTCTTAACACACTATTGATTATTTTTCTCTCTCACAATTTCTGAGGTTGATGGTGTAACCAGTGTGATAAAGATAGTGGGGCCTTCCCTCCCCAGGGCTTAAATCACTTCCTTGTAGCAAGGTCACCTCTGATGGAGGGACTTAACATTCCCAAAGCTCCAGGGGATCTGTCCACTGCACTATTTTGGAGTGCTTTGAAAATGACAGCTGGCTTCAAGACGTACAAAGACAGCAGGGGAACCAGAGCAAGGGCCTTGCTGGGATTCAAAAGGGCCACGCACAGAAAGGGTTAATGGACCCTCTAACCACACATCAGGAAGGGAGGAGTCTGCCATAAGGGAGCCAGGGAAATCACAGGAATGTGGGGTTCCCTGAAAGAATGTATGTGTGGATTCTGGGGAGCAGTTTCATGTCTGATGGTGGGTTTGTTTGGAGTTAACCCACCACAGATTAGTTAATACAGCCTGGTAACCTTCCTCTATTTATGCCTAGCTCAGATGTTTTTGAGGGTGGCTTCAGAGCAGAGATTGCTGGGTCTATGATTCAAACCAAAGAAAATGCTCACTTTCTCCCCCTTGATAGCTCCGCATCCTGAACCTCTACATCTGCTGGGAATGTTCATAAAAACTTGTTCACAATGACCTGAAATTTTGAATAACCCTGAACAGGCATACTATTCCACTCTTAGAAAAACAGACCCAGTGTAAGGGAGGCCCTCTCGTGGGACAGTTCAAAGCCTGGGGTCTATGTTGCCGAATTCTGAATACCAGCTTGTCTGCTTCATCTGGAGGACCACCAAAGACTCTGTCTGTGCCAGTGTCATATAGAGAACCAAATAAAAACAAACCCACAAGGCCATCCTGTAGCTGAGAACACACAAAGTGAAATTCACAGTTCCATATCTAATGTATCTTGTTTGCATATCTGTGCCCTTCCCAGATCCCTAAATTGATACCTAACAGCTCAGGTGATGGGGTTATGGTGCTCGGTTAATAGAATCAGTGACCTTATAGAGGAAGACACTGTTGCTTATGTCACTGTCTTTACAGTATTTTGTCATATTAGCCTGCAGAGAGTAAAACTGACTCCGTATTGGTAATTTCCCACTATAACAACATGCAATCTATTAGTTAGAAAAAGTGTTTAGAAAACTTGGTGCTCACAGGGAGTCGACAAATAGAATTATTGGACAGAAATTTGGAGTATTCCTGTTTTCTGAGTTTGCTGTAATAGCTCTACGAGCACAGGGGCCTCAGCCTAGGTGAATATTGGGGGCCTGGGAAGCTAGGTAGGTAGATATTTTATATCTTGAACAAAAGGAGTGGATGAGAATCTATAATAAGACAGACAGGTCCTGAGGTTAAATGAGAGTAGATGAAGTGGTCAGGGCTGGACATGCAAACTTAGATCTTGAGATGGTTTTCAGAGTCCTCAAACTCTTCGTGTTGATCAAGGGAAAGTTGAGGAACAAGTGCTTGATAGATGGAGCTGAGAATAGCCTGTGCTGTGTGGACAAACAGAGGAGCTCCTATGGGCCCCATCCTTCTCCTCTGGAGAAACTCGCTCTGTAGACCAGGTTGCCCTTGAACTCTGCCTCCTGAATGCTGGGATTA